GAGTCTTTGCCACAGCAAGTAACTATTATCACCAGTGCATTCAATGTAGCTGATACGTGAGAATGTGTGCACTGAGGGATTACAGATTGCAATGCTTCCACAGGAAGTTGAGCAAGTGAACACAGTTCAGAACAGGCATAGAACACAGGTGCACTCAAAGCTCAATAATTTAATCAAATATAATGCAAATAGAATTAATGGGATCCAATTAATTCTTGGGGGACTAACAGTTTGTTGATGAAGTCAGTGAAGTACTTATAATAATGTCATGACACTTGTTAGGATTCTGCGAAGTGTATGAGGCCAATGCCTGGAAGAAATGGTAACAATAATAATCTTTGCATTTGACATAGCGCCTTATCATGTCTTCGAGACATCTCAAAGTAAATGGTAAATAGTGTACATAAAATAGCAAGTTTTTATTTTTTTCCCCAAAACTTTTAATCCTTAAATTTGATATAGCGCCCATCGCATTGGAAGGATGTCTCAAAGCACTACACAGAATTGATTATGTATTGATGGTTATTTGACAAACGATTTTCTAGATAAAAGTAAGTTTCTTCTCTTCATCCCCCTCCCCCACCCCACCCCACCCCCCCCACCACCCCCACAAGAAGCATGAAAATTATAGTGTGCTTATAATCATAATAATAATCCTTGCATTTGATGTAGTGCCTTATCACGTCTTCGAGACCTCTCAAAGCGCTTCACAGAATATACTGTAATCCGTTCAGGGAGCGTCCTGTCTTGTTTCAACCATCGCTAGAGAGAAGAGTTTGCACTTCAGTCTGCGTCAGACCAAGCTTGTTACTCTGCGTTTCAGAATGTACCCGTGCGACACAGGCCAAGTGGGTCGCAACAATGCCGATGCACATTTGGCAAGGCCAAAAAGTGCACAATTTTGCTAATGTTAACTAGTATCCACCAAGGCATTTCAGTCAGATAACCAAAGTCCCCTTCAAATACACTGGGAATCAATCTCTGGCAGAGACATAATCTCCAGATAAAACCAGCTTCAGCAAGAATAATCATGTATGCAAAAAGAGGAAGAATTACACCATCCTCTTAAAAAAAAATCCCACATGCACAACAGATCAAGAAAAAATATTACAAATGAAGAAACAACAATCTTGTCATTGTGATTGCTTTGTTTTTAAATACTTGACAGTCATGAGCTACTGAAAGTCAACTTCCTTCAAATAAAACCAATTTATTTCCTGTAACTATCGACAGTGATACATGAATCAGAATTCTAAAGTCTCACTGATCACTCCATAAAACTTTTTTTTGGGGGGTCAACCAGATGTCCGATACATGTGCAAGCCTCTCACCATCCTTAAGAGAGTATCCAAACCGTATAGGTATCTACATTTCCATTTTCAGTTATAGATTGAGGACTCTCTCCCCAGAGGGATACTTCCCCCAGGAGAGTTTAAGTACAGGTTAGCAATAGCCAAAGCTTGAGGACCCCAGAGTGTGTGTTGGGGGACTGCTGGACTTTAACCATGTAAAACCATGCAGCTTGCCTTTTTAGATATTATAATAAATAATAATCCTTGTATTTGATATAGCGCCTTATCACATCTTCAAGATGTCTCAAAGCGCTTCAAAGAATATACTATAAAGTGAAATGACTGTATATTTTGTGTGCAAAACATTGGTGAGCCTCCCGATGTTTGCCCAGCTTGGGCAAGCTATGTAGTTTTAGCTGGTGAAGACATGTCTCTTATCAACCTGTGGTTAATACTCTCTGGAATTAGGCAAGCAGGAGGCATCCCTCCAGAGAAAATGTGCACCATCTATTCTAAACTCCAGAGTTTCCATGTGTAGGTGGAATGCATGGAATTCCCAGTCTGGTTTGGATACTCTGAGATGGTAATGGGTTTCCGCGTGCATCAGGCACCCGGCTGACTAAAAAAAGGTGTACTCTACTTGTTACTGGGAGTCGAGTCGTGAAAATCCCAGCCACTGGTCTGCTCCAAGTCCTGCTAACAATCCAGTCAATTAAAGCTCTGGGTGGAAATCATAATAATGGGAGTTGTTTAGCAGCAAATACAAAGTATGTCATGTTGATTCACAGGATGTTCTCTCCGACATGATTACTGAAGTGACATTCCCAGGGACTGACGTGATGTACTTCAGGCTACCTGGAGTTACTGTTTACCAATTGGAAGCTTTAACAGCAACACCAGTTACAAAACCCCACTGTCACTCATGGCATTTAAAGGGACGCCCACTTCATGGAAAATTGTTTGAAAATAAAGCAAAGTTTGCTGAACGCAAGATACCATTTCTGAATGGAGTGACAAAAATGAACGAATTACTGTACACAGAAAGGCCAAATGACAAAAGAAGTTTGCATTAATTACGGTCAGTGATTCAAGAACCACAACCGTTGGCACATTTACAATTTTGTAACATTCAAAACCCAAAGAGATTCTGCAGTAAGATGCAATACTCAGTCAATTTAGCTTATTCCTTCCAATGGGTATTGTACAATTCGTTCCATCGTAGACGATATCCAAGGGAGTTGGACTCTTCCGAGGGAGGTGGGCAACTAAGTGAAACTCTCCAAGCAGACAAGACAACTGGTGGAGTTTCTTCCTCCTAACCCAAAGATAATCCACAAAACTCCAGGATATGAGATAACATTCCAATCCAGGTTACTCATCGGTGACCTGCTACATTCCACAGATGGCATCTCTGCAGAGCACACTTCACAGGAGGCATTTTAGCATCAGGCAAGAGAAAAAAAAAGGGGGAGGTTGTTACTGCGTAAAATGTTCTTTACCCTGTTGGTTCTGCCCACTCTAATGTAGAGCGCAGATTTGGTGTTCCTAGGTCTCAGTCAATACCACTCAGGCTACTTTTGTTTTGTCATTCCTTCCCCTCCCCCACCTCCAGTTCTCCCTCAACTGCCAACACAACTATTGCTTAGTGGCCATTTTGTTTCACAAATCCTTCATAATGCAAGGGAGGGAGGGGGTGGCTAATGTTATGGATCCTAAACATTGCGCTATGACTGTGTTAACTCCACTCCAAACTGCAGAAACGCTGAATGTTAGGCATTATCTTAGAAGTAATAATCCTTGCACTTAATACAACAACAAGATTACATTTGTATAGCGCTTTTCATGGCGGGAGGATGTCCCAACACGCTGGTCAGTAGCTAATGTTATGGACCCCAATACAGTGCCTTAACACGTTGAAGGAAGTCCGAAAACACTTCACAGTATAACGACTGTCTTTTGTAGGTGAAATACATCCATTATTTTGGAGGTGAAATACAGAGCCCTGGTCTCTGATATGGTATGATATCCTTTACACCTGCTGCATTGAATCAGTTTGTACATTGTGTTCTTATGGTATCTGGGGCCAAACGTCACCGAGACAGTTACCACAGTTCACGCACAAATGCTGAATGATATGGAAATTTTGTTGGTTGGGTTTCTGAAGCAGGGCTGTTGTGACATGTGATATTTTCAACTGGGCGTTGGACTAACACAAATTCCACTGTTCCCTGACAGGTGACTACTGGGGAGGCAATGTTTCTACAAACATTCTGTCCTGTGCACACACACACTTCCCATCAAATGATCTGGGCAGCAGGTTGGAACAGCTAGTGGTAGTGAAGACATACAAACAGGTCCCGACACCAAACTTGGCTATCACCCATAACTGACTCACACCAACCAGACTGAGTGATAACAACTGGCATCCAGTTCACTCCCCACCTTTCCTTTCTCGCTTACATCTGGTCCCTCACCAAGACCGCCTTTCCTTCCTGGAAACCTACACCAACAGATGTGATAGCACAACGATGCCAAGCACCATTTAAGATAACTGTGTCATCAATTGGTGACGAGAAAAATACTACTCTGATAGTTTTAGCAAACTAATTTTGAAGATAAGCAACTGAAAAACATATTTATTCTCTTTGCATGCTTGAATTACCTATACTTGATGGTGTGGTACATTGTCATGGTCTGACAAACATTGCATCTTGTATGCCCTCTAACTTTCTGTCTGATTCCACTTCCTGCCCAAAGTGAGCAGGCAGTGATGGAATCCAAGTCCAAACCAGCTTTTAAAAGAAGGCTACAACTTTGGCTGAGAAGACCTATTTCCACTGCCTGCCCTCGCGTTTCACTGTAGCAGAAGGAAGAAAAGTAACACATGACAGAATCTCATCTTATTATACTTCTGTGCATCTGACTGCTTAAAAAGAACCAAAATGGAATAGAAAGTTATCGCTAGAAAATAACACTTTATGCACGCCACTCTTGGCCACACATGAAGGCAAACAAAAGAAACATTTCCCACTTCCTGGCCACAAAATGTAAAGCTGTCTATGTTTCAGTTATGCATACCATGCACATTTACGTCTTTCACACAGTTTTTAAACCACCTTTAAAGTACAACGCAATGATGTTTCACTATTGTTTAAAGTCTTCTGTGTCAGCAGGTTATTGTGGAGAATTGAAAAGTCATCAGGCACAAACATTGTACTTTACTCTATTGCATACCAGATTGCACACAAACAGCATTGTGTAAGGCAGAAATGTTACAAATCCAACCTATTCCTTTTCCTCGCAGAAACATTTTAATATTCTAGGAACAATTAATTGCATTCAAAATCAATCATTCTGAAAGAATGACTCAATGCTACAGAGAGCATGATTAGCCTTGAATGGCATACGTTGTCAAAACCATCTGCAAGCACAAAAACAGAGAGCCAAGTGAAAGTCTAATTTGGTATTAATTTCCGACATAAAGTGACCTCAATTGAGCGGATAACTGAACCGATTGTATCTTCCAAGTAATCTGTATTAGTGACCTATAATTTAAACAGTAAATAAAATTGTAAAAGCATTTAAGATAAAGTTACTGAAATAAGCTGACTCAGTTATTTCTAATGACATGCCGTGTTAATCCTAAAACATTGTTCACTCAATTTGTAACACTTATAGATACAGTATATGAAAGGATGCTGTACATACCAAGTGCCAGAATACACAGCAGCATTGAAAATAATGGTTAAAAAATCCCACTTGTCCTGAAAGGTTCACCACAACAGTTCTGTATCCACTGAAAGAAGGGCAGCTGTGAGTGCCACATGAGCAGGTACGGTTTAATGCAGGACGAACCACTGACATTTTCAGCGTAAAAACTCTTTAGCATTAAGACGGAAAAAAAAGCAAGAATTCAGAGTTCTTCAAGGTAATTTCAGAAAGAACGGTTTATGCAGATCTGCATCTCCTCATCTTCTCTCTTGTATTACTACCGTTACTATATTCTGCAGTTACACTCCACATCATTGTGCTCACAGACCAGTGAAAACTGCCTTAGTGTCGTCCAAATGACTTCCTTTAGTTACTTCAGCCTTGCCTTCACAACTACCTGCAACCTCCTCCTCCCCCAAACAGTGAAAAAGAGGAAACTGTGAAAGGAAGTGGCCAGACTTACCAAATACTCAATGCATCATATATATCTACTGATATTTCCAGTATATTTAATTAACATAGTGCCATGTCTCATATGATGTGATGTCATGAAAGACTCCCACACATTCAACAAGAAGCAAAGTGTAAATTATATTTTTCTACAGTTCAAGGCTTAATGCATGTAATAATTTCTTCCTTCCCACAAATACCTTGTTTTAAATAATCCCAATACTGATCCTTGCATTCAATATCAGGCCTATAACATCAACATATCTCAAAGAGTTTCACACGGAATTGCTGTCAAGTGGAGTAGACCATGTACGTATGTATGAATGTATATCCCATCACCGAATGGATCGACTTCAAGATCCTCCCACTCGTACTCAAATCCATTCACACCCTGGCACCTCTCTACCTCTCTGACCTCCTCACTCCCCAAACCACCACCCAGCGCCTCCGCTCGACTGGCACCGACCTTCTGCTCGTCCTTCACACCCTCCGCCTCACTACATCCCAAAACTCTGGAACACTCTGCCTAAATCCCTCCGCCTTGTCTTCTCTCTTTCAAGTCCCGCCTGAAACCTTTCCTCTCTGACCGTGCTTACGGCCACCTCCACCCTGCTCAGAGTCAGGCTCTGCCACTATTAAGTGTTCTGAGAGGCTGCCCTGCGTGGAGGGCGCTATATAAGTCCAGTTGTTGATGTATGTGTAGGCAAATGTATTGGCCAATTTGTGCATAACATGGACGACTAAAATGCATGGTTAATTCACCTGTAGGCTAGACACCAGGAAAACTCTCTTTGCAAAGGGCTCGTCCTTCTGATGAGAAATTAAACTATTCAGGTTAAAGAACCCATGGCATTGTTCAAAAAGAGAAGGCAGTTTCTCTGGGTGTCGTGGCCTACAATCCCCCAAATAAAAAAGGATCATTCACTGATGGTTGTCTGTGGGACGATGCTGCGTGCAAATGGGCTGCTGCGTTTGCCTACAAATACAATAATCCCCCAGCTATCTGGACACCATGTATTTAGAATTCTGAATAAGTTGGACCGGCACCAAAAAAAAAAGTGATTTTGCATGTTAAAAGTCCATCCTGTATATTCAAACTGCTGCCAGCCCACGTGATAATAATAATCTTTGCATTTGATATAGCGCCTTATCATGTCTTCGAGATGTCTCAAAGCACTTCACAGAATCTAATCTAAAGTGAATTGAGTTGTATATTTTGTGGGCAAAGCACAGCAGACAATTGCATACAACAGTGTCCCACAAACAGGCGTGGATTGAGTGACCAAATTATTTTAAACATTTATTTTGAAGGAATTATTACCCCCGGAAAAGAGATCAGCCAATCAACTAACAACCTGGCTCCTACTTACTGCTAGGTAAACGGAGACGTGTGGAGTAAGGAAACTTGCCCAAAGTTTCGCCCTGCCCAGGAATCAAACCCAGGTCCTCTCGCTTGCGAGGCAAGTGCTCTGTGAAGCCCACAAGGAGGTGCATTCTATCAGTGGTGAGTACAGAACTATTTTTATTTTTCCACGTTCAGGTCAAGTACCAGCACTTGTTACAGAATAAAGCATCCTTAATGCTGCTGCCTCTATGCCTCCAACCCCAAAATGTGCTTTGGCCTGAACCTCAAAAGAGTAGTCCTACTCAAACTGTTTTAACTATGTTAAGGAACTTTTGTGAAATACGTTTGCAGTTTCAACACAATTCCAAAAAGCCACTCAGAGCTCAGCATTAAATAGAAGTTATAATCAGACAGGTCTGAACTGTGGATTGTGTAAGAAATGGAAATTCTTTTTGGGGAAGTAGAGATATGAAGAAGTCAAAGAGCAGAAAGTCAAGACTCACTCTTGCTTAAATGTACTTTATCATTCAGATACCTTCAGGACGGCTCATCTAATAATAAGAATAAATAATAATCCTTACATTTGATATAGCGCTTTTCACGTCTTCTAGACGTCTCAAAGCGCTTCACAGAATATGCTGTAAAGTGAATTAACCGTATATTTGTGGGCAAAACGTGGCAGCCAATTGCGCACAGCAGTGTCCCACAAACAGTCATTGATTGAAAATGACCAATTTATTATTATTGTTTTCTTTTGGAGGGATTATTATTAGGCGTGTGGAGTAAGGAAACTTACCCAAGGTTTTTACTCTGCCTGGAATTGAACCCAAGTGTCTCGCTTGCAAGGCTACAGGAGCGACAGGACTCCATCTAAGTAGAGAAAATCGAGGAGGAAATGTACTGAAGAGCTTTATACCCTCCAAAGTCACATGCAAATCTCTACCCCATTTGCTGAATGAAAGGATTTCAATTGGAACAATAAGGGCACTACAATTGACTCTGTGCTAAGGAGGGAAAAAATGCAAACACCCACAACTAGAACGACAAACCTGACAAAAGAGAATGGGAGCAATAGGGGCGGATTAATGCACGGGTATAAGGGACCAGTGCCAGGGGATTCCAGACAAAAATGGGGCCCTGCCAGGGGCCAAACATTGGCACCAGGATGTCATTTTGTTGTTATTGGGCTGCAGGGGGGGAGGGGAGGGTGGGGTGGTACAGAGGGGCCCTCAATGTTCTTGGGGGCCCCAAGAATTCTTAATCTAACTCCGGGGAACAAAATGGATAGCAAATAGTGGTAGTACAATAAGACCATAGCAAAAGGGGGGTTAAATTACCCTTTACTCATTTGAAAAAGGCTCAGAGGAATACTGTATATCTAAATTTATGGAGAATCTGTTGGAGAGTTCTTGAGTATTGGAGNAAAAAAACTAACTTTCCACTTTATAAACCTCTCAGCGGGCTAATAATACTTATACATTTCCCTGCTGTGAAGGGTGAAACGCTCCTGTGAATCAACAAATAGATGGGCTGAAGGGACTTCTTCATCCAAACATATCTTGTGATCTTGAGCTGTAGACTGATTGGCCTGAATGATCTGTTTCCACACTTTCTAGGTAAGTGAAGGATACCTTTCGGAATTTCATTATTTCTGGCTGTGAAGTGATTCAATTGATATCCTCTGAAGATCTTCACTTAGCAGCCTGTTCATTTGAAGAGCCAAACCATCTGCGAGAGATCTTGAGAGAAATTTATGCTCAATTTAAAGTAGTCTAGTCGACTAACATACGAAGAGCTACAGTACGAGAGATGTCCTGTTCTGGTACATCCATAAACCAAACATTGTCGACAGGCTATCTCTGCAAGAATTGGATCCAAAGTACAATAAACTCCTGATAATTTAACCCTGACTTAACTTGTCATTACCACTTGAGTCATCGTGCTGTCAATATCCCGGTCGCATTTATTTAAATGTTTATACATATGCCTAACTCACTACTCCAGAGCAGTGAGTCCTTTTCCCTTGGAGCGACAAGTTATCAGTTTACTGCAATTCCAGGACAATTTGACCCAGATGCTAATCTTCCATAACCACTTTATCAGAGGAATGTCCAGCGTCAAGTGAGTCCTGATAGAGGAATCAGTGTTGGATTTGAGATTTCTTTCTTTGGAGATCAAGTCAAGGCATGCAGTCAATGTCTTATGTTTGATGCCGATGCTCCAAACTATGGGAGAATTGTGTTAGGTGAAACGATGGTGTTTAAGGGGTGAATCATCTACAGAAGCACTCTGTTACTATCAGGTTGACAGGAGTATGTGTTATTAGAGGCCGAGTCACTGAACAATGTTTCTCAAGTACATTTAGCAGGTAGCCATTATGCAAAACATTGAAACATTAAAAGAATATTTGTACATTCCTTCCTCGCCAGCCTTTGGTATATTATTTTTTGATACTCAAAAGGCTGAGGCCTGCGATGTGTTTTAAGTATAAAGTTCTCTGAGACGCCACCTTGCGTGGAGGTTTGCTATATAAGTGTAAGTTTCTGTTGTTATTGAGGACAATAGTAATAAATAGGTCACAAACAGTAAAAGGAATAATTTGGGCAGCAGATGAATCTGTTACACTGCGTCCTGGGAGCGTAGGTCAAATATTTAAATTATAGCAGGAACCAATTGTTGAGTGGACAATTACATTCGAATTTCTGCGAGACATCATCTGTGATTACCTTTGAAGTTGTCTCGTGAAAAATTACCTGAAATGCAACTGAATTGCAACTCCATCCAAACCTACAATGCAGACAAATAGAACAGATATTCGAGAGGTTTCCATGGCACGCGTTATTGAACAAGCAGCCAGGGTGTTATCTTAGCTTTATTGTTGAAGCAAAATTATAAGCATAGGTGTTGACGGCCATAATTGAGTCATGTAAGTAGTGCTTTGTAAAAGGCACTCGAGTGACTTTTAAAAGAACGTAGTGCTCAGCGGACAAACACGTAAAATTTTCTGAAAAAGATCATCTGCGGCGACATTTGAAATTGCATTTTAAAAAGTGACCTGAAATTGCAACTAAAGCTCCATCCAAAACGGCAATCAAAGCATCAAACCTCTCTGCTCAGCAGCTCACAGAATGAGATGAAAAAGCAGGGCAACTATCTTCCTCGGGGAGAAGGTAAGCTGGATGTCTTTGGGGAGACATCGAGCTTACTTCTGAGGCTGAGCTAGCTCTTAGGAGCAAGAGTGACATCTAGTAATGAAATGTTGGAAGCGAGTTGATTTTTGATGGTGGTTTGAGTCGTCTGGTTCCTGAGCCAGGTAAAGACATTGGTGCTTCAAAGCACTGCTGATGATAGACCAGTCAGCCTGGCTCACTAGCAACAACGACTTGCATTTATTTTGCGCTCTTCATGCAGGATAGTGCTGGATAATCCAACAGGACGTAGAGCACCAACCAGTCATTGGGGGCCTGAGATTTTCCTCACTTAACCCCCTGTTAACCCTGTAAACTCATAGGATTAGGTGAGCAGTGTCCCTCCAGGAAGAGTGTGCGCACTGCATCTCCATGCCAGATACAGGCAAACTTCCATTCAGATGTGGGACTCTCAGTAGTTTCATTTGAATA